ATTACTTCTCTGTTCTCCTGTCGTAGTCCCGGGTTTCGGCACCAGTTATGCGTCGGCGGACTCTAACAATAAAAAAAAAGAAAGGAAAGGGCTTGAAATGCAACACTCACGGTTTCAGAAAAGATACTGATTTATTCCTTTAGTAATCCTCCTTATATACATTTCATATGTTTATTTACATTCAGGACGGTATTAAGGCTGATATCGCCGGTCTCCGGTCTTTATCTTATATATATATATATATAGGAATATGTGTATATATACATATACATATACATATTAAGGATTTTACAATATATTAAAAACAATGGAAATTAAATCTGTATCACTTTATACATCTTTCAATACTTTTTTTCTATTGTAAAATTTAACAAAATGGAGTTGCCAAGGTTTCATTAACCATTATTTTTTTGTCACTAATATGATATTATTCAATCCAAAATATTTCTATTATATCTATGGATGGAAAAAACATAAACTTTTTAGCGTGATTATTATTATTTCTTTTTTTAGATTTAAAATTCTATTTTAATTTAAATTTTCTATTAAGAACATCAAAAAAAAAATATTAAAAACTTTTCCCATGACTGTAAAATAACAGTCCCATTCAAAACCACATCCAACTTACTCTTTAACACTTTATGTAATATTTAACTTTAGCTAAATACAATACTATCAGATAAATATATATATTTTATTTATTAATGATATTTACAACTGTATTAAAGAAATAAATCTAATAAATTTGTACGAATGGATATAATGACGTGAAAACACTTGTTGAGAAACTACCCAATAGTAGCACTACATTTTCTTTTAACAATACCTCACTTATCCCTGTTGAAAAAATCCGATACCTAGGACTCCACCTGGACAAACGACTCACTTATAATCATCATATCAGACTGAAACGACAAGAAACCGCTCGACGTTTCCGATTACTTCAGCATTTACTAGACAAAAGCTCTAAACTTCCAATTAATTACAAAAGATTCACATACATGAATATAATAAGGACTATTTGGACTTAAGGAATTGAGCTATGAGGCTCCACTAAACCATCGAATTCCTCTCTTATCCAATCCTTACAATCCAAAATCCTACGTAAAATCCTCAATGGTCCTTACTTTGTCACAAATAAAAACATCCACAATGACCTTAATGTTTCTGATTTGGGCCAATCCAGATACCTATCCTTCCATAATCAACATCAGAATCATCCCAACCCTCTAGTTTCTAACCTTGCTTCCTCTTCAATTCCTGATAACCCTCCGAGGTGTCTGAAAAGAAGATGGTCCCGTGATCTCTTGATGTGGACATATTAGAGTGCAACAAGTGGGTAGTTACTCAGCAAGTGTTTTTCATGTCATTATATACAATATGTTCAAATTTAATAGATTTATTTTTTAAATGGATTTTCGTTTCATCCATTTTACTTTAAAACATAGTTATTAAGAATATATCGTTACTGTTAGTAGAAAAGGTCGTATGTAACACGTATTTTTTTTTCTATTGGCGCTAAAGACCTTTCGTAATATGCAACTGATAAAGGAAACCTGGCACTATGGAAAATAAAATATGAAATTACACTAAAAATCATAAAGGAATAACTAGTTTTATGCTCTCCAGTGAAACACTTTTAAAAAAATATTTTTTTTTTGTATAAAAAGATGTATTTGCGTCTGTCATCTTATTGTTGACAAGTAGCAAATGTGATGGCGATACATGATGTAATGGCATGGCAGGCTTGGGGGAGGAAAGTACTCAGCAGTACCTCTTCCCTAACTTGTTCCAATTACTTAGGTTGTCTAAGGAAGGAGATCCCTCATCCAACACCTTTTTAGTCTCCTGCTCATGTTCTGAGGTATGTCAGCTGTGGCCATGTCTCTTATTAGTCCTATGTTATGTCCGTTTAAA